AGGAGGTGGGAGGAGGTAGGTCACTGGGGACAGGCTCTTAGAGGCACATTTATCTCTGTCCAGCCTTGTCACACTTTGTTTCCTGGTCTGCCATGATGTGACCAGCCTGCTCACTTGTCCATCAACACTGTTGTTCCCACTGCCATGCCTCCCCTGTCACTGTGGACTAAAGTCAACTGAAAGCATGAACCAAGGTAAATCTCCCCCCCCCCCCGGAGCTGTTTCTGTTAGGTCTTTTGTCATGGAAGCAATAGAAATAACAAAATTCCTTAGCAGGTAGAGTCGTTGGAGTGAATGTGAAAACAGATGGCCAATTCTATGTAGTGTGGTGTGTGCAGGAGAGCACCTGTTACACAATAGTATTATTGTGCTTGATAAAGTATTATTGAAAGAGAGGATTTTTCACTCTGGCAATATATCATCTGAAACAGTATCTAAGGGTCTTCTGGGAGTGATGCCAACCATCTCTTTTATCTCAGATGTCTTCGGTTAGGTCCTTGAAACACTGAAGATAAATGTTAGATTTGACACAAGGGTAGATGACTTCAGGATAGCCTTGACTATGGTTCCCATTGGAAGATCAAGATGGTTCCTACCCCTATAGGTCTTTCCCTGAAAACAAAACAGAATGACTCTTTAGGTCCTCTTTACTATTAGAATTCCTACAAGATTGGCTCTGAGAATGTTACAGCCTGAGCTTCACTCAGCTTTCAGCGGAGCAGACAGTAGAAGCTGAACCCATGGCCAGCATCTTGTGTTTATTATAAGTACTCATTTATGAAAGTGGTCTCTTGCGATGAGCTGCTGTCTGCCTCTAATACCTCACAACACAGTCTTGAATTCTTGAGGCCAAAGTAATCATCATGTGGAGTGATGCTGAAATTATTCACTATTGTGTAATATTATTCACAAATGGAGTCATTTTGTAATACCTTTTTTACCTTCTTTCTCTGCCTCTTCCCTGGTCATGTGTGAGTGAGTGCCCAAGAGCAGTGCCCACATGCCATATAACACACGTATCCTCCAATGTGAAGCAGGGACACTATTCAAGGATTGAGACTATTTGAAAATGAGGCTCTTTATCAGTATTTCAGAAGGCTCAATGTAGCATTTATGGCTCAATTATATATTCCTCTGGGAAATACACATAAAACCTCAATTCAGTCAGGTCCTTTCTCCTCGTGTCTGCTTCTAAAAATTAATGCATTCATGAAACCGTAACAAGAGGCTGCTCCATGTGAAGCATGTCTCACAAGATGCAATGTCAAATTACCGTGTGGTGACGGACCTCTCTGTACTGACATAAGTGACCTGCAGAGAGCAGAGTGAGGGAAAGACCCCACCCAGAGTAGCAGGGTGCAGAAACTGACACTTTGCTGCTTGTGATAATTATGGCTGCAAACAGATATAGTGCAGAATTTAGAAAACACATTTATATATATTATTCCCTAAGAGGCTCATAATAACTGTGAGAGGCTGGCAAGGTAGGTGTTATTATTGTTCATATTAGTTATTATTTTCTTCATAGTTAATCTTGATTGTTAACTTGACTGGACTTAGAATCACCTGGATTAATAAAGCAACTGCTGAATGTTCGTGTCTATGGAGATGTTTCCGGATTCAATTAACTAAGAATCAACAGCACTGACTGCTCTACTTGTGGACGGCATTATCCTATGGGATGGCAATAAAAAGTGTGGGTAGAAAGCCAGGTAGCTCAGCAGTCTCTCTGCTTCCTGGCTGTCATGAGGGGAGCTGTTTGGCTCCAGCATGTCCTCCCAGCCATGGTGCTTTGAAAACTCTGAAAACGTGAGTCTAGATAAATCTACCCCTTCCTCATGTTGTTTATGCCAGGTATTTAGTTGCAATGATTAAATACAGTCATGGAAGTAAAGGATCTGACATGTGCCAGGACTGACCAGGTCCTAAGGGACTCTTTCTTCCCCAAAGAGTAAAATAATCAGGCAAACAGGATCCTACCAGAAACAGAAAGGTATATGGAAGAGAACACTGGTTTTAAAGAAATCAGCTGTTTTGCTGTATTTATGTAAATGCAGTTAGAGTTTGTAGCAAGCCTCATCTAGTCTCTGGTGATGCCGAGCCTTGCCTGGCAGTGAGTGCTGTGTCAGCATCAGAAACTGACCCAAGTTTTTGAAAGTTTTAATCCTTGAGGACATCTTTTTTCACCCTATCAAAGAATTTGTAGACTGTCAACTAGTTTGGGTTAATTTGCTCCCCTTGCCTGCGGTATTTGGTGTTGTGTAAACTCTGTACTATCCCTCTTAAAGCGTGAATAAGAAGGACGGGGGCGCTTCTCCACATGCAATAACCCATTGCCCAGTCCCGTGTGGTCCATTGTGACAGAATTGTGTTATCTACTTAACTACCACCACGTTCCAGTTGTTGTGTAGCCATAAGGTACCTTACCACCTAATCCCTCGAGACTCTCTAGAGCTGTGGGCATTCAAAAAACTTAAAAAAAAAAAAAAAAAAAAAAAGGAAATAGTTCTCTAACCAAATGGACATGCAGATAGAACCAGAGCTTGGGCTAGATATTCCCTGTTCCATGCATCCACTGGGCATGAACTCTGAATGCGTTAATCCCCAAGGGTGATGTGTCAGAGCACAGAGATCCTGCTGCTCTGCCCAGCAGTTTACAGAATTCCTACCAGCTCAGATGCCTTTCAACTGTTGGTTTTGATCGTTGTTGCTTTGATCACCTGCATAAATCCAATATCCAGCCATCAGCCAGTTGAGAATTCAACCCCAAAGCATGTGTACACTCCTGGATCTGATTCTCAGTTGCTGGGGAAATGGAGGGCTGTGCAGCTCAGAGCCTGTTCAGGGAGATTTGCGGGACCTGTAGCATAGGCTTCCTCTGCTCCACTGCTATGTAATGCACTCCATCAACAGAATGCCCTTTCTAGAATCTTCACCTTTACAACCCACCTTGCTCACCCTTGTAATTCTCTTGTAAGAACTTTATTGGCCCCTCCCCCCCTCTGATGGTAGCATCTGTTTAGTAAATCTTGGCCAAGGTACTGCCCACTCCATCAGCCTTCACGCCTGAGCTTTTTCCAATCAGGCACATCATTCAGGTAATGACTTCATCCCACAGTTATATTTTTGTTTTAGAGACTTTGTCCAAAATCCTTTGTGTCTGGTTCCAACCACAAAACCAAACATACAAAGACTGTGGTTGGGGCCAAACAGAATTAATCACCTAGGAACTTGGAGACTGTTACATTTCCTGCAGACAATCCAACAGCTCTAATGTTTCATAGCCTTGAACCTAATGTTTCACACCCAAGAAGCTTCTGAGCATCAGTAGATTCAACCTGTCCATCAGCTCATCCTTAGCAACAAGAACATCCTCACTGCCCCAATCCTTTCCCAGCTAACCGGACTGCAAAAAGTGCAGCCATCAGCAAAAGCTCCAGGAAGGGGTATGTGAGTGAAAGCCATTGCTTGGCACCAGCATCTGAGCCAAGCAATGGGGGCACCCTGGGTTGCTTTGGCAGCTGAGAAGGATGCGGTTTGCAGAATACCCTCATAGAGCAAGTATTGTTCTTGTTGGTTTTCATTTTTCAGTTCCATGTAATTACTATTTCTTTTATCTCCTTTCTTTGGCATTCTTTTTTCCCTTCACATATATTGTAAACATATGTGTGCATTTTTCTAGAAATCTGCAGCCCTTGCTGTATTTTACTAAGGCTTTCATTGAAGAAACAAACTTCCTGCCTGAGGTGCCGGGCTGCGGGTTGGGGGAGGTGAAAGCTACTTTGCAGAGTATGTTTTATGACTCGTGTGACCCATGTGTCTCCCTCTCACCTCATTTGCCTTTAAAACTAAACATGTGACAAACTGAGCCATACAGATCTGGGATCTCAGTGGGGAGTGAGTGCAGACAAAAAGCTTATTACTTTGGTTTCCTCTTTTCTTTTAAAAAAAAAAAAATGCCTTTCCCGAAATAACTGATAAATGGTCCTTTGTGGGGATGGACAGGGTGCCGCTTCCCCCGCTGCTGAATGCCATTGGACATCTTAGTGAGAGTTAGCATTGCATCCTAGTTCTAGACCGCAAGCCTGGATGCTCAGGGTCTCAGAAGGCTAGGAGCTGGAGAAGACAAGCTGATTCCAACAGGAAGTGTTCATCTTACAATCTTCTAAATTTCTGATCTTCCAAATTAAAATGAAGTCAGAAGGTGAAGGGTCTGTGAACACTACATTGTGCTATTGCATAATCACGGGTGCTGTTTTGGTTGATTTTATCCAAGCTCCCCTTTACTTGGCATTTTGTGGATAGAAGTTACAAACTTCTCAGTTACTGAGACCCGCCCCTCTCACCCCACCCCCTTGTGCCTGAACTCAGCCCTGTGACCCTAAATTGCCTCGTGTCTCTAATCGGCTTGGCTGTCAACCTCTCATTGTTCAGCTGATCTCTACTAGATATCCAGAAGAAAGCAGCCTTATTACACATTCATCATAAAGGATGAATGGCTGATTGATTGTATTTTCCCAAGAGAATTTTGATTTAATAGAGTTGTTCACATAAACCAATGTCTACTGGGTAGAATTTCAGGTACCAACATCAACATTTATTGACAGTTTATTAAAAGTTGGTCATAGTCCTCGATGCTTTGTGGCAAAGTTGACAGAATTAAATGAGTAACTTTGCAATACAAGGAAAGAACTCTTTTCTAACACCTCATTTTTTCATAGCCCCTCTCATCCCAGCTACCAGCTCCCACTTCATCCAAGTATCCACTTATGGACACACATGGCCCAATTTTCTCACCAAATCTTATTCTCATGTGTTCCATACTTAACTTGGAGAAGATGCCAATGAAGTAAAGCATTTTGCACTTAAATGTGGTCCTCTCTGCTATATTACCACCAAATCCTAAACCAAGTCCACCCAAGTCCCGCTCTACCACCTCCAAAGAGGCAAGCTCAAAGGGCAAGAATCATTTGATGTTTATTGTTTTTCCTTCCCATCCCCATCTCTTCATTTCCTAATTCAAAAAATGTCTTTTAGCCCAAAGTAGATCTTTCTTCCACACTCAGTTTTCCCTGTGAAGTACTTTCATATGGTGGAAATTACCATTTTTTATTGGAATATATGTAGAAAACTGTTTCCATTTTCATTTTTTAGAATAAATTCATCTTTTTTTTTGTTTTAAGACAAGGTTTCTCTGTGTAGTCCTGGCTGTCCTGAAACTCACTGTATAGACCAGGCTGGCCTTGAACTCAGAGATCCACCTACCTCTGCTTCCCAAGTGCTAGAATTAAAGGTATGTGCCATCATGCCCAGTTAGAATAATTCATCTTATGCTAAGGTTTTTTTTCCCCCATGTTCTGTGAATAAGTAGGGTTTACACAGGAGCTCTTGTTAAAGTGAACTATGTTCTTGTTTTGTTTTGTTTAATTTTTTGTCCTTAATTTGAAATTGTATTGGTTATTTTATCTTCTGCTTTCTATATTCAAGGCAGTCTTCTCTTTCAAGTGGCCTATATCTTTGTAAAAACATGTTTTTATTTATTATTTGAGAAAATACAAATGTATACAATGTAGTTTGATTATATCCACCATCATTCTTCTCCTACAATCCTTCTCAGACCCCTCAACAAGTTCCCCTCCTAACTTCAGGTCCTTTAAAAAAAAACCAAGTTGAGTCCAGTTGGTGCTTCCCTTGTGTGCATAGATGTAGAGTACAGGTGGCCTTCCAGGAACCATCCCCATGAAGCCAACTCACGCTCTCTGAGTAATCATCAACCGCCATTTGCTCCTCAGCTAGAGGTGAGGCCTCATGGGCTCCTCCCCATTTTTGCTGGAATTTTAACTGGCTTGATCTTGCGCAGATTTTCAGGGGGCAGCTATAGCTGCTGTGTGTGAATGAGGGCAACGGCCCTATCGTGTCCAGAACTCGCTGCTTTGCAGCAATCCTCCCTGACCCGTGGTTCTTACAGTCATTTCACCACCACCACCCCCTTCTGCCATGTTCCCTAGTCTTGGATGAAGGGGATGTGATATTGATGTCCATTTAGGACTGTGTACTCTCTACCATCACTTATTTTTGCACCTTGATCAGTCTCTGTAGTAACCTCATCCCCCACATAAAAAGGCTTCTCTGATGAGGACTTTAAAGTGCACTAATCTTTGGGTGTAAAGATAGATATTTAGAAGATAGTTGGTGTGGGAGCCCACAGAGGCTATCTAGTGAGACCTTACTCGGGGTCAGAGAATCTGAGCTTGCTTTACCTAGCAGGGCTGCATAATGGGATGATTTGGTCGTGGATGTGTTTACTAGGTGTTTGGAAGGGTCTACACTTGGCTGTATGGTGTGCTTTGATCTTGCAAGGGGGAGGTCTTTTGCCTCTCCCCTTGGCATATTATAAAAAGCCCTTTTGAATAAACCTAGGGGCTGTTGGGTATTGACCCAGGCCCTCCCAAAGCTATCCTGTGTCTCTGTCTTTCTCCTTGTCACCTAGGTCTATCTTTCTGCCTGGTATTTTTTCATTCCTTTCTCCTCCACTCAAGGATCTTTGCATAGGTGGAAGCAGGTTGGAGCTGGTCTCCCCACAGACAGCCACAAGTTGGATGCTGTGTCCATTTAGCAAAGAATTGTAATATGTTCTCCCCTAGGGCCCATGACTTTCCCAGTCACAGAATTCTTGAATGTGGGGTCCCACAGAGGCTCCCTAGTAAAGCCTTACTCAAGGTTAGAAAGTCTGTGCTTGCTTTACCTAGCAGGGCTGCATAATGGGATGATTTGGCCATGGGTGGGGTTACCAGGTGTCTTGAAGGGTCTACACTTGGTTGTATGCTGTGTTTTGATCTTGAAAGGGGGAGGTCTTTTGCCTCTCCCCTTGCTAGTGTATAACAAGCCCATTAGAAATAAATTTGAGGTGACTGGGTATTGACCCAGGGCCCTTCCAAAGCTATCCCGTGTCTCTGTCTTTCTCGTAGTCGCCATCTATATTTCTATCTAATACTTCCTCATTCCTCACTCCTCCCCCAAGAACCCGTCAGGTCAGAGCTGGCCTTCCACACTTGAACATGCTTACTGTACCAGGCATGATTTCCATTCTAGTTTAATTTTTAAATTACCTTATAAGTTATGTGTTTCCTGTGGGTTTTCAGACATATTTGGTTTGGGTTGATCCTCTTCTACCCCCTTTTCTCATCGTTCTGTCTTTCATACCTCCTTATCCCATCCAACCACATAGATCAGGACAGACCGTATCACTCTTGAGTTTGCATATGACTGGCCTTTGAGAAACTGGGCTCTGCAGGCCTTCTTGGCAAATAGTCATGTGTGGTAGGGGAATGTCAAGTCACAAACAAGAACATGCAAATATACATGGACATTAGACTAGGCTTTCCCTAGTAGGAGGTGTCTACAGTATTAGTCAGCTATGAGAAAATACCAGATACAGTCCTTTGCTGTGAGAAAATACCATGTGGAATGTCAGTTTTATGGAGAAGAGGAGACTTACTTTGCTCAGGGTTTTGGAGGTTTCAGTCATGGTGCTCTCCATCTGTTGCTCTTGGACCTGCAGTGACACAGGACATCATGGTACGAAGTCTGCAGTGGGGTAAAGCAGCTTACCTCACCAAAGACAGAAGGCAAAGAACTGGGGCAAGGAAAGGACAAGATACAGTCCTCAAGAACACACCCACTTCAACTAGGCCCCACCTCCTGAGTTCCTGTTACCTCAGACTAGACCATCAAATTAGGAATCAATCAATGGGTTAATCTATTGGTAAGGCCCCAGCCCCACTTATGGATGTAAATGAACTAAGGACCAAACCTTTAGCCTTTGGGAGACTTTCTGGATCCAAACCATGACATTTGCCTTGGGAACATCAGTGACATCAGTTCAAGTTTCTCCCAGAGAATCACTACTGATGATCCACCAGCATGGAATTTGTTTGGAAGTTTTTTGAAACTGACTTAAATTTTGTAAGGGAATGATCTGCAGTGGGGAAGGAAGGATGCCACTAACATTACTGTCATCCTACATTAGTAAATTTAAACACACACAATTAAAATTATATGTATGTATATTTATATATACATACATACATATATATATAAATACAATCTTTAGAGAGTTACTTTAACTTTGTGTAAAACTCTTTATAATTGTCTCTGTTTTTCACATGTTGTCAGGGACTAATGAAAAACTCCTTCACAGGACCCCAGTGTGGTATGGGGATCACTGCACCTGGGTCTATTCAGGGCCTTAATATAACCTAAAAGCCTCTTCCAAGGAGACAGACATGAAGATTCAAGCTTCTGTGTAGACTCAGGGTGTCTCTGGCTGTGTTGCAAAACTGACTACATTGGTAGAAACTGATCAATGAATTCAGTAGACCATGCCATTGAGTTATTGCAGCTGTCTACACTCAAAGCAGAGCTTATTGCTCCTCACTACATGAATTAACGGTCAAACTCAAATTGTAATTGGTATGACCTAAGTCCATCACTTAGTCTAAGTACTTAACTATGCTCTGAGCATATCACAAAGTGGCCAGAGGATACTTTTCCAGAACTGCAGAAACAGGAATCTCTGTCTATACCACAGATGGGGGAGGACTGGGGAGAGGGTGGGGGCCCTGGAGACTGAGCCTCTGGAGAGAAAGAACAGCAGCAATGTACTTTGACCTTGAGGACAATACACCCACAAATCATTTAAGATGTTTTCAACAGACAGGACCGACTAAATGAGACAATTTCCTCCCCTCCTGCTACTTAGCCTGGGGTGAGGATAAAACCCATTAACCCTAATAAAATGAATCCCCTAATATGTGAATGAGCACAATGCTACATAGCAGGTCATGATACTATATGTCTGAGAAGTTTGAGCTAATGTGAGCTAATACATATAGACAATAGTAAATATAAGGTATTTTGGTTGCTTTACAATTTAACTAATTTCTATGAGAAAGGATGAAATAGATTCATCACAACCCCCTAAAACTTTTTCAGATTCCCAGCACAGTCCAAGGCTGGGCTAAAATGCAAGTGTAATGAACTTACTATAGGGAAACTGATAACATTTACTAGGTACTAAATAATTAAAGCTTTTCTTAATTACAATATTGTTTTCTACACACCACTTGTATGAAAAAGTGCACAATTAACAGGGAAACAAATAAATGTTAGGGGTTTGATATGTATGATCTTTCTTTAAAAATATTTATTATTTTCAGTTGTGTGTATATGTGGCGGGGAGGAGCCAGATGGTGCAATAGGTATTGCACCCCTCCAGAGTTGGAATTCCTGAGATTGTGAGCCACCTCACATGGGCACTGGGAACCAAACACATCCTCTATATGCATGCTCTTAACCAGTGAACCATTCCCCTCTTCCCCATATTATCATTTCTTGTTCATACCTGAGTCATTCGTTTAAACATTCCCCTTAGATAAGGTGGTTTAATCACTCAGAAAGCCATCAGAGAAATGGTACACAGCCCCATCTCCTAGCTGGAGCCAGAGCCTCTGCTTTTAACTGGAAATCAAATCAGAAAGGTTGATTTCATAACATTAGCTCTCATTCCTGCTTAGGCATTAGTGCTTATTGGCATCACTCTACCCTGGCATATTAATACTCTAAAAGATGACCCGAACAATCACACTGTTGGTTTGATTAAAATAAACTTGGAATGGTGGGATGACATATGGAAAAACATTGTGATAGAGAAGCTATTTGCATGGATAAAACTTTCCTAGTGCACAGTGGGTCTCACTGGGATCATCTGCCTGTTTCTTCTCCAAATACCGACAGCCTACGTGAGCCTCATTCAGCCAGATCCTTGGTCTGAGGGCTCTGAACTAAATTGTATACCTCCTCTCACCCAGGTGCCCACAGTTGCCTGCCACCCCAGCCAACTGTTAGAGAAAGCAGGCTGAAGCACATAGCTTCCCACTAAACCCTAGAACAGTTCCTCCCTCCTAAGATGAATCTCCTCTTCCTCAGATGCCCAGAGCCATGCAGCTCTGATTCGGTTGAAGTCTTCAGAAAGCATTCTTCATTCTATGTTGCTCCCAACCCCTGCTGTTACAGTCCAGATGCAAAAGATAGATTTGTCAGAAGCCATTGGGCAACCATCATTCTCTGCAACACACACACACACACACACACACACACGCACGCACGCACGCACGCACGCACGCACGCACGCACGCACGCACAGCCACATGTGCACACTGGTTTTTCTGGTGATGTCAGCAAGGATAACTGGGGAGCTAGGACTATGATCACCTCTGAGGCATTATATGGATAAGAATGTGTTATGACTCCCTCTTCTCATTTATTCAGACCTTGGCTCCATACCAAAGAACACCCAGAGGAACAAAGTACCTTCTTGTCTTCCTTCATGACATACTGCTTTTTTGTTTCATAACGTTAAGCATGGTTAGGCCATTGGTTTTGTAGCTTTGTGAATATGGGTATGTACTTACATGCTTGTGGTAGAGTGTGTGTGTGTGTGCGTGCATGCGTAAGTGCATGCATGTGTGTGTGTGTGTGTGTGTGTGTGTGTGTGTGTGTGTGTGTGTTCAGTGCACATATGAGTGCACTTGAGTGTTGTTTCTCAGATACCCTCTGCCTTGGCTAGTTCAAGGCTTCTCAATTTGACTTCCCTGGATGACCAGCAAAATCCAAGAATCCACATGTCTCCACCATCCAAGGGCTGAGATGACAAGCACACCACATATAACATACCACAATACCAGGGTGTAAAAAGAAAAAGGTGGGTTCTGAGGATTCGGTACAGGTCCTCATGCTTATCCCACAAGCTGTTTACTGAGTGAGCCATCTCCCCAGCCCGTATTTAGCATTTGATTGTGGACATTCCTCTAGGAGTGTCTTCCCTGCTGGTTTAGTTGAAGGACCCAGGTGGATTCCTACCACCTTCTCTGTCTTGGGAATCTCAGTAGAAAATTTCAAGAGCCTATGACTGAGGCCATTGCCCTCAAAGTCCCTCCCACAGCTGGAGGAAAGGCAACCACCTTCCACTCAGAACTCTTGTGACTTGGAAATTGAAACACAGTGGCAGGTGTAAGAAAACAGAGCACCCAGGAGCCCACTGAGTGGAGGTAGCATCCCCTCTCCTGCAAACTAGGCAGCATGAATGAAAGTGCTTCAAAGCAATGTAGTAGTTCCTATCTGTGTGGCCCCGTTAATATAAGCCACCCCAGCACTGCCGTTTTTCATTCTTAACTTTCCTCTGCTGTCAATTCAATGAATGAACTATCTCCACAGTGTCCAAAATACAGCACAGTTCTCTGAGTCCTGAAGTTCACAGGTCACTGACATCAACAAAGTGCCTTTAAGACTCATGTAAAAAGATTATGCTTGTGATTTTGCTAGAATAAGCCTTTAATATTTTCCAAAGCCTGTCCAGGTGGCTATAGTCGTGTAAGGTGGAGGAATTTGAGGTAGCATTCACATGACGCAGTTTTACAAGGAGAAATATTTCTGATGCTACAGGAAGTGGCCATAACAACAAGTCATTTAAACAGCTCCATGGAAGGAGCTGGGAACACACATTCTTTCAGCTAGGCTGTAGTTAGGGAAAACGCCAATATAAAAACAGCCTGTTTTTAGGGGCTCAATATCTCATCTGTAAATGCTTGTGAGTCATATTTTACAAGGGCAACACACTCAGCCTCTGTTGTTCTGCAGCTCCCAGCCACCTTAGGGGAAGCGAAGTGGAATTCCGTCAGTGAGCGCTTCCTGGCAAAATTGCTTGTGAGCTTTTGATTGCAAAATCGTTATACTTGGCATTGAGTTGAGTAGAGGAAGAACCTGACTTGGTTTTGCAAATCCCTTGGCTGATACAATGCTGCTCTTAAGCTTTTAAACCGCTCAGCTGGGCTCAAAAGTCTCAAGGAAGCTGTAAAATTTCTATTTCAGATTCTTAGTTTCTAGTGTGCTCCGCACTCCTCAGGCGGGATTTTAATGGCATAGATGTAACCGGAGACTCCATTCTCATATTTGGGCTGTGGCGTCTTCTTCACTGAGGCAGATAGATAATCCTAAGAGGTTACAGTACAAAGTCGAGAGGACACACGCCAGATGGGAGTCTGTGAAATCCACATACCGGGTGGTGTGGTGTAAAACAGTGATCCCAGACTAGCCTTGTGTGATTGGATAATATACAGATGGTGAAGAGAGAACCCTGTGTGCCCTATTCACTGAACCCTGCTGGCTTTCTACAGAACTACAGGGAGTGTCTTTAAATGAAGTCTATGTGATTCAAGTATAGGACATAATATTTTTGTTCTTAGCTGTCATTTTTTTGGGTTTTTTTTTTCTCTTAGGTTGGTAAACAAAATAATGGGCTTCACCATAAGCTCCTCATACATATGCTTTTGTTTTTTAAAAAGATTTCTTTATTTATTATGTATACAGTGTTCTGCCTGCATGCCAGAAGAGGGCACCAGATCTCATTCTAGATGGTTGTGAGCCACCATGTGGTTGCTGGGAATTGAACTCAGGACCTCTGGAAGAGTAGCCAGTGCTCTTAACCTCTGAGCCATCTCTCCAGCTCATCATACATACTTTGTCTTGTTGATTCTCTTTCTCTGTTTCCCTTCTTCCAGGCCCTGCCAACTCTATCTTTTCTCAAGTTACATAAATTGTGTTATACTCATTTGCCCACCTCCTCAACTCTCCCTAAAGACATCTGGTTCCCTTTCTAGGTTCAACACACACACACACACACACACACACACACACACACACACACACACACACACACCTCTAAAATATACAATCCACATATGAAAGAAAGCATGCAGTATTTTTTTTAGGTCTGAGATATTTCGCTTAAGATAATAATTTCTAGTTTCATCGACTTTCCTACAAATGTTATCATCTCATTGTTTTCTCGATGGCTAAACAAAAACCCACTGTGTGTATGTAGTTTGTGTCCTATGATCCATTCATCTGTTGATAGACACTCCTTGACTGTTCACAGCAGTGAACAAGGCTGTGCAGGTGTATCAGTGGAGAAACACAGAGGTCTGTTTGTAGCAGCCAGGAGCAGTACAGCTGTGTCACTTTGTGGGTGAGGTTTACTCTTGATACTTCTATACCAATCTCTATAGTGGTTCAACTAGTTTGCAGTCCCACTAATGGTAAGTCGGGGTTCCGCTCTCCCAACATCCTCACCAGCATTTGCTGTCTTTTGTGGTGCAGTAGAAAGAACATTAGCATTGTCACAGTTGAGAACTCTTGAATTTGGGGTATGTCCCTTATACTCCCTGAGCTTTGATTTCCATATCTGTGAAATACCCAGAGATAATAAGATCAACCCAATATCATCACCAAGGGACTGATGACCTCATAAATATAAATGACATGAAAAACCTCTGCCTTCTCTTAATGAGGCTAATCAGGATTGTTTTGAGACAGGATTTTGGTTTGGATCCCAGGCTCACCTTGAACCCACAATCCTCCGCCACAGCCTCACCAGTGCTAAGATTACCAGCTATACCTGGCTCTTGACTCTGTTTTGATGAGAAATTGACTCTCATCAATGCCTAGGAGTTACAGAAGCACAACACACACTTAGCATAGCACCCAGGAGACAGCCAGGACCAGTGTGCTGCTCATATCAAAATGAAAAGAACAGATTGATTTTAAAGAATGGAAATATTCATTGACTGCAGAATACATCTCCCTTTCCCATGCATAAAGCATAATCTTTGCTAGTGTTACCATGAAAAATGCTGTCAGAGAAACAAGAAACATGCCTCTCTTCCCTCTCTGCAGTGTCTAGCCGTCTAGCTTCTGCAGGCTTCTTACCACTAACCTGAGGATACAGCCTACCCTGAGAAGACCATTGTGGAGACATGGAGTGGACTGAGTCTTTGATGATGAACTCAGTCAACCGTCCCCTGAGTCAATCAGAGCTGAACCCTGACTCTGGACTGTGGTTATGTGAGAGGATCATTTCCTCATCGTTTCACATTAGGGATTCTGAAGCTGGCCTCTAAAAGCATCCCAGTAGTATCAGATGACACCTGCTTAGATGCACTTATTAGTTGCTCTTGCATAGCTGTGACAAAATACTTAACAGAACCACGTTAAAGGAGGGAAGATTTATTTTGCCTCGGGGGATCAGAGGGTTCACTCTGTGGTCACTGGCTCCATGTTTTTGGAGCTCAGCCTTGCAGTGCTTTAATTTTTCACAATGCCAAATTGGAGCATAATAATAGTCTAGATCCTACCTACTTCGTAGAGTTTTATGTGCTGAGTAAGTAAGTTAATTCATGCAAATGCTCAGAGTCTAGCCTTAAAGGAATAGTGTCACCAGTGTCTGCTACTGCTTAATCCTGGAGGTGGGTCATCACACTGGTTAAAGGCACAGATTCCAGAACCACTCTGCAAGGGTTAGAGTCCTTCTCTCCACATCTACTAATGAGTAATCTCAAGTTGCTACATAGCCTACCATGCCTCTGTCTCCTCATCTACAAAATGTCATCAGCAATAGTAGCACCTGTTTCATAGAACTATACTTATTAAGTCAATTGATGTGTAATACATAAAAAATAAATATAGTCACCTTTTTTTGTTATCCAAGATATTACATCATTTGAGTCCAGACAACTGCCGGGTTGAGCTAGAGAATATGGTGGAGGATGGCAAACGATGATGAGGATTTCCTGGGAACTTTCCATCAGTGAACCACTCAGTTGAATAGGCAGAGCAATCACAAACCACCATAGACTGAGTGACTTAATCAACTGAAATTTATTTGGTTCAGTTCTGGAGACTGGGGAGTCTCAAGTCAAGGTACCCCATTACATGATCCCTGCTTAGGTTTCTCTTTTTTTAGCTTCAAGATAGTGGCTTGCTCTGTGCTTACATGGTCTTGCTCCATGGGAGAGGAGAAAGAGAAAAGAGCACCCAATAGTTTCCTCTTTTGTAGAGCATGTCTGAGTGAGGGTTTCTGTTTCTGTGGTGAAACACCGTGAGCCTAAACAACTTCAGGGGTAGTGTTTCACTTGTACTTCCGTATCACAGTCTACCATCAAAGGAAGCCACTCTAGGCACTCAAACGGGGCTTTGGACCTGAAAGCAGAGACTGAACAGAAGTTACAGAAAGGTGCTGCTTACTGGCTTACTGCTCGTTCCTTGATCAGCTTCCTTCCTTATAAACCGAGGACCACCAGCCCAGGTGGCCCCACCCACAATGGTCTGGGCCCTCCTGCATCAGTCACTAATTAAGAAAACGCACCACAGACTTGACCATAGGCCAATCTGGTTGAGGCATTTTTCTTAATTGAGGTTCCTTCTTCCGAATGACTCTAACTTGTATCAACTTGACTTGAAACTAGCCAGCGCAGGGCACTAATCCCATTAGGTCAAGGGTCCTACTCTTCTGATCTTGTTTAACTGTCACTGTTTTCTTAACAGTCCTGTCTCCAAATGCAACCACCCTGGGGGATTCCAATTTCAAAATATGAATTTTAGGAGGACAGTTTAGTCTATACCAGATACCTTCCAGGACATTCTGCCTCTAGCCTCACTCGGCACCCTGTTTCCTTCAAGGGGTAATAGATGATGAGACATGTAGGATGTCTGCCCATCCCCTTCCAATTCTGATTCTGGGAGAAGAGAGAGGACCGTGAGAACCTAATTTTCTTTTCCAGTTTTCACCAGACTATACAAAGTGCAAAGTTGCACAAATAGGAACAAATTTTTTTTTTTTTTTGTAAAAGATACACTTTTTAAAAACATTATTGAGGTAGGGTGGTGGTGGTGCATGCCTTTAATCCCAGCACTTGGGAGACAGAGGCAGGTAGATGTCTGTGGGTTCAAGCCCAGCCTGGTCTACAGAGTGAGATCCAGGACAGCCAGGACTGTCACACAAGGAAACCCTCTCTCAAAAACAAAAACAAACAAGCATCATTGAGATACAATTCACATATATAATTCACTTGTTTGAAGGGTGGAAGCCAGCCCTTGTTGATGTGTTCAGAGTTGCGCAACAATCACTCCAGTTTTAGAACGCTTTCATTATGGAAAGAAATTCCACATCCGCTGATGGGCATTCCCCACTTCTCCACCCCTGACTGATTTCCCCACTCTGGGCTCTCATCCGTGACTTTTTTACTTTCTGCCTTTATATATTTACCTATTTTGGACATGTACTAAGTAAACAAATCTAGAGTTTCTTTTAAAATACCTTTTATTAATGCCTTGGACTCTCAGTTTTTGCCAATAATTTATTGGCCTAGGCCATGTACCTCAAAAATAGGTGTAGATAAGAGTATATGATAAGAAGTAAAGATTTTGGCCGTGCAGCAGTGGGGCACCCCTTTAATCCCAGCACTCGGGAAGCAGAGGCAGGTGGATCTCTATGAGTTCAAGGCCAGCCTGGTTTACAGAGCGAGATCCAGGACAGGCACCAAAACTACACGAAGAAACCTTGTCTCAAACCCCTCCCCCCAAAAAAGAGTAAAGATTTTGAAATGAAAAGTGTACTCTTAAACAAGATGACAAAGGGTAGTTTATCCTTTAAAAAAGCAAAGGGTAGGGAAACTCAAATTTCAGATGAACCCTAAACTAATGAATTTTGTGTAAAGTTGATTTTAGGTTAAAATAACAAAAGGCCCCTCAGTTGCTTATTCATATGGACTTGGGAGAGAAAGGCTCATGGGAAACAAGCACTTGAAGAGTTATTATGTTTGATAAGAAGAATTCCTTCCTAGCATTGTGCTGCTGCTTCCTTCTGACAATCCTGGACTTTTCTAATCATCCTCCATAAATTCTACCCCTGGGAGGAACCAGAAAATACACACATTTATGCCAGGCTCTACGCAAGGCCTGATGGGGATGAATAGAGGGTTTGATTCATGTGTAAATATTCATTATATCCTTGGCCAAAGCTACTCTTTTATTTCTAGGTGAGATTAATTGATTGATTGACTAAAATAAAATCTATTATCTTATTCAAGCAAACTGAATTTAATACCAAAAGAATTGAAATCTCATGAGAGAGTCAAGTGTATAAATACACAGTCCATGGGAAGAGGGGGTTGTCTTCAATGGCCACACTACCCATTGACTTCAACACTTTTATTAAATCTTCTTTTATTATGAATTAACTTTGTGTGTGTGTGTGTGTGTGTGTGTGTGTGTGTGTGTGTGTGTGCCTATGTGGATGATTTTCAGGTAGTCAGGCTTGGCAGCAAGCTCCTTACCCACTGAGCATCTCACAGGCCACTACTCATTGGCTTTTGTCTTTCTGGATTCCTGTTTCCTTTGTCTTAAAAATTTTTGGATTGTTACAACAGTGCAAACTAGCTATCGAGCATGATGCTTACTATTTTTTCTATTTGTCAATATGACATATTCTCATAAATCCAGCTCTAGGGTAGAGAAACTGAGTAGCAACTATATTCAGATGTGCTGAGGAAAAGAAATAAAAACCTTTGTCTGTTGCTCTCATTTAATTAAGAATGTCTGTGCGTTTGCTGGCATTTGAAAAGTCAGGTTCTCTGTTTCTGTTGTGGCAACCAAGAAACAAATAATTGCAAGTCTAGGAATTTATCGT